GTGCCATTAATTTTCCTGTAAGTGCCTCGACCATTCTTCTACTTTGTTAATTTACTGTGACTTGCACGGAACAGTAAAACATATAATCTGCTTACCAACAATCAAGAGTTGCTTACGGTACCTCCACTGCCATTATTTCTACTCCCATAAAAATAACCCACCTCTCACTTTCATACTTCATTTTAGATCATTTCATAAACTCTATTAATTAATCCTACAGCTTCAGATGTATAGCAAGCGCCATGATCTGCCTTGACATATTTATTCATTGAATTTGCATTTCTATTCACATCATAACTACATCCAAACCGCACGTGCAGATTCCCAGTATCATCAGCCATTTGAAATGCACACATTTTAATTTCTACTCTGTGCAGAGCTGTTAAATTTGAGCAGAGGCCTGCAAATACATTTCAACCAGTGTAGTGGCACACAAGAACACCATCAACTGTCCTTTGTCTCAATCTTCTACTATACAGCATTAAAGTCCCACTGCAGAAAGAGGGGGCTGAGCTGACATTGGGGAAGGAAATCAGAGTGGCGACATATATTAATACATTATTCTGCTCACCTGGTCAACTGTTCATTTTCAATGTATGGTGTTTTCTGCTGTTTTTCATTATACCATCTAACTTTGGACTAATTTAGAAGAAAGATGGCTAGTGACTGATTAACGATCACTGGTACTCTCACCTCCACTCCCCAACACACAAAACTTCCCATAGCTGTTGTGATTCCAAGAATTATCTGGATTGGATTCAAAAGCAGATTCATTAGGAAGGTTAAGCTTCAGGGCCTCTTAATTTGCATGGGCCTCTTCCAAAGCCCTGGGAGGTACCCTAAACGTTTATATTTGCAATTTTATATTTTTTTCCTTCAGGTGGGCCTCCCCAAATTGTATAAGCATCAGTCCCACAATTCTGCATCCATCTGTAACTGGGCCTAATGTAACTTGTAGATCGGTGATGGTACCTCTATTGGAGAGAAAGAAAAGCCTGCTTCTTTGGTTATGACTGCAACACAAAACCAATTCTTGTTAATGTCACAGTATGAAGCTTTACCAGTTTAGTTAGTGCTTGCATTCTTTTTTTTTTTTTTTAAAGATGCCAAGGGAGAGCGCAAATGCCCTCCCCCACTATCACAAATTATGCAGTCACGTTTCCCACATTTGGGGAATCTCAGGGGTCAGCACATCTGGAGTGCAAGGGATAAGCCTCGGCCTAGGAAAACCACCTTCGTGATCACGGTATCTCCCCTGCCAGGTAAGTGCAGTGCTTGCGTTCTGATTGGCAGCCAACATTTAGCGTGACCCTAGGCCTCAGGTCTAGGCATGTCTCAAGGACTTTCCAATCTCGAGTGTGAGGGAAAGTCTTATATCAGATCAAGACCAAGTCAACAAGGTTGATTTAGGAGCTGACCACATGCTCAGCTCCGGGCTCTGGGTATCCAAAAAAGTGGTACTAGGCACAAGAGAAACTCAGAAGCTGCTTGTTGACTTGAAGGGACTGATATCACTTTCCCAGGTCAGTCAGAAAAATGAGATCAAATCATTTTGCCATAGAAAAAATAAGAAAAAATAACAAAAACATCCAACAATTTAAAAATACCACAGCACTGTAAATGGATGGGCTGGTGTAGTTTTTTCTTTTTTGCACTGAATCTTCTTTATTATAAGTAGGAGGATTCAGTCTTTGGTTCATTAATTCATTCACTGATCATTTACTATGTGTACAATACTATTCTAGATATCAGGAATACTGCAGTATAGAAAATAGACAAAAATCCCCACCCTCATGGATCTTATATTCTATTGGAGAAATGGAAAATAAGCAAGACAAATTAGTAAAACATACAGTATATCAAACAGTGATAAGTGTTGAGGAAAAAAAATAAGGCAAGGTTAGAAAGTGTGTGTAGGAAGTTGAAATTAATCAGGAAACACAAGGGATCATAACACTTATGTGAAAAGATACATTCCTGTGTTGCCTGCCTTTGCCAGAAAAACACTATATACAAAGGGAGAAGTAACATTGGAAGCATTCACAGAAACATCATCATTAATTGACAGTTATAACCCAGAGTTGCCAGATTCCTGTGTATTTTGATGGCGATGGGGCTTGGGGGTAGGGCTGGGAGAGGACCAAAGCAGGAGGGAAACTGCAGAGGAACCTGAAACATGGAAACCCACTCCGCAGACCACATGGCTTGGCCAGGAGGTCCCCCTTCCTGTGTTGGGCCAGAATACAGCAGAGTTACACTTCCAGGTATGCTCATGCTGCAGCCAAACAAGCAGACAGGAAGCCTGCAGAGACTGATGAAAGTATGAGGTGTTTACTTGTCTAACAACATTCCCTCCTGCTTGCCTTCCTAACTCATCAGGTTCTAGGGTGCATTCAGGTTGGCAATTCCCAATTCATAGAAAAGACACAAAGTCTGTTTTGAGAGTTAACTCTTATCTAGCACTCCCTTTGAACACCTGTCCAGCAGCTGGGTCTAGCCCTTCCCTGGGCAGCATCATGCTCTCCCTGGCCAGCCAGCGAATCCAGATCATCTTCCTCACACTTCCCTGTTTCTGCTCTGAGTCAACAAGGTTTATTTAGGAGCCTTCTGCTCTCTGCCCAGTTCTCCCAAGCAGGTGGAAGCCCCTACGGGGCCAGTTCCACTGAGTGGCTGAGCCCCAGGAATGCACTAGGCTCCACTCCCAAAGAGGCTCCCCTTGTTACTGCCACTAGCCACTGAAACTGACCCATGGGCAACTTGCTGCCTTTATAGCACTGTCCAATCCAATCCCTTATAGCCTTTACTTCTAAAATCAAATCATGTGGCTCCAGACTGCACACCAGGTACCATAACATAGTAAAAGAGCAGTCTGATCATCCAGGATTCAGGCTACCCTGCACCTAGCAACACTGGCTTTGGGCCATCAGCAAGTCCACGAAGCATAGCCAGAGACTGGCTCGCTGAAGACAGCTTTCCTCCTAGGGCCATTTCAGCTGCAGGGAAGAAGTAGAAAGAAAGGCAGCAGAAGCAGCGGGCATTCAGAAAAATGAGAAAGACTTGGTTCTTTTGGCTACTTTTTCCTTCTGGCCCAATGTGCATGGACAAGCCAAAGTCAGAAAGACATTTATTTCATAAAGTGCACTAGAATGGTTCAATCTCCACCACAACCTCAGGTGAAAAAACAGATCTTCCCTTACCCAGCCTCCAACAAATGGGAAAAGGGCTTGTCTTAAATGAATCCCAAAGTATTTCCCCTCAAAAACCACACTTAAATTAGGAAATGTGTGATGCTCTTGTACTTCACTTTTTCCAAAGACAGACTAGCTTGCGAGAATGGAAGACAGGAGATGTTAGCAAATCACAATTGCCAACTAACCCTGCCGAGAGCATAGCAAAGACTCCCTTATTTCTCCTCAAAAATGTTCATTATTATATTATGTAATCAACAATAGAAGTCAACTGGATTGACAAAACACCAATATTATGAGCATTATAGGCTATTTTGAGTTATGCTGATGGGACTTTTGAGGGAAGGGTTTAGGAATATTTGGGCAAAGAACACCCGATTTGCCTGACCACATCCAATAAAGTATGTATGGCAAAAAATGTTGAAGAAGTAGAATGAGGTCAATATGCAAAATTTTTATGTAGATGGGACATATAAGATAATATATATTATACTATATAATATATAAATTACTGTGGTAGTTCATGTTCATTATAGAACATATCTCTGTGTTTTTCAATTTAGAAAAAAATCATACAGATGATACCTACTAGTTAATATTGTGAATATAGGTTCGTAGGCTTTGGAAAAGGACTCCTTTGTAAAAAATGACTAGCTAACAAAATACACCATCTCTCATGGTGCTACAAATCATGATGACTGGAACTCATAGATTTAGTTTAGGTGAAGACAGCAACAACGCTATTTTAACCACTTACAGATTTATTTTAACATAATGTCCTCCTTGCACGTGAGAGAAAAGGAAAGAAATAACGAATATAGTTTTCATCTATTAAAATACTGTGTTTTTATTTTAAGTACTTCTTCTTTACCCTGAAAATTAACTGACAGCAACTCAGAAAGAATCATGGAGCTACTGGAAATGAATTATGAGTCAGCTAAAGCAATGGTTCCTCTCCTTCCTTCCCCCACTCCACAAGCTTCCCTCCCACCTTGTATATGCTTTTAGCATTGTACTCAATTAAAATGGAAACATGTTCTCAGTAATTCAGCTAAAAAGGTTGAATCACTCCGTAAAACAATGTGAGAGAAATAACATATCCTTCTCTGATGCAGAATTTCTCAGAAGCGTGACACACAGACCTTCGGTGAAATTCATCTGAAGGTGCTTATTGAATTATTTATTTCATTGATTTTTTTATTGTCTATATTTCCAGGGTACAACATGATGTTCTGATGTATCTATACATTGAGGAATGATTAAATCAAACTAAATAACACCTATCACCTCACACACTTATTCAGTTTTTGTGGTGAGAATATTTGAAAATCTATTTTCTTGGCAATTTCCAAGTATGCAGTACATTATTTTTAACCATAGTCACCAGGCTGTACTTAGATCTTCAGAACTTATTCCTCCCAACTGAAATTTTGTATCCTTTGACCAACATCTCCCCATTTCCCTCCCTCCCCACTAGCCTCTGGTAACCACCGTTCTATGCTCTACTTCCTTGAGTTTGACTTTTTAGAGTCCACATATAAGTGAGATCCTGCAGTATTTGTCTCTCTGTGTCTGGCTTATTTCACATAACATGTCTTCCAGGTTCATCCACGTTGTCGCAAATGACAGGATTTCTGAAGATGCTTATTTAAAAGACAGTGTCTCCCCAGAAATATTGACTCAGAATAGGAGCTTGGAATCCGCATCCTTAACAAGACACCCAGTGAATATATCATCAAGACACCAGCAGTCAAGGGCCACCAATTTCACATACATTGTCACGTATCTGTGCTTAGCTGCTCCCCCACTCACCTGGTGGACTCCCATGTCCTGCTGCAGCTGTGGCAATTGCAAAAGCGGAAGCCGGTGAAACAGAGCAGTGGGCATTGTCAGCCGTCTGTCCTGGTTATTTAAAAAGAAACGACATAGAAAGGTGAAGCAAATGGATAATATTCTGTAATGAAAATTCTCATTTTTATTCCAGCGCTGGATGAAGGATTGGGCTAAATGCCCTGTATCGTCCCTGTTAACAGGCAAATAACAAGATTGCACATCAGCAATCCCACTTTGAGTGTGTAACCAAGAGAAATGAATACAGACATCTGCACAAAAACGTGTACATGAGTATTCCTAGCAGGTAAAAAGTAGACACAACCAAATGTCCATCAACTGATGAACAGACAAACAAAAACATGCTATAAGCTGGATAAACCTGGAAAACATTATGCTAAGTGAAAGAAGCCGATCACAAAAGGTCACAATTGTATATGAAATGTCCAGAGTAGGAATCTACAGAGACAGAAAGTAGATGAGTGGTTGCCAGGGCTGTGGGAAGATAGGGATGGGGAGAGACTGCTGTTGGGTACAGGATTTCTTTTCAGGTGATGAAAATGTTCTGGAATTAAATAGTGGTTACGGCTGCCTGACCTTGTGAGTACATTAAAACCACAGAACTCTACACTTTAAAAGGCTGAATTTTATGTGAACTATATTTCAATATAAAAAAATATTTTTTTAAAAGATACTACATCATGTTACCAATAGAATTTCCTTCTCAAAGCACCTTTAAAAGTGGGGAGGGGTTAAGTGTGGCCCTTCTAAAGTTGAAAGGATGCACTGAGAACCTGGCAGTCCCTCTCTCTCTCGGGCTGTACTTTACACATGGTATTTGGCGATGTTGGCTTTCCTCACTCAGGCTTTTAGTGAAAACAGTTCACTGTGATTCTGACCAGAGGGGTTTTTATTAGTTTGCCCCTAAAGTTATACAGTCATGCTTCGAATAAAAAATAAATAAGGGAGAAAGCAAAGAGTGGCTTTAATGTGCCCATGAAAGCATAAAATAGCTCTATCTTCTTTTTCTGCAGTAACCTTATAACATTTTCAGAACAAGGCGGCAGGCAGACAGAAGAACAGGCAAAATTTCAGCTAGACAGGGAGAAAACACGTGATACTGCCCTCATTTAGATTCTCCATATTATCACAGATTTCAGCCTCCTTCGTATGTTTCTATGGCTCTATGATTTAGTCGTATCGGGGAAGAAACAAAGGACTTAGTCAATCCACAAACAGGATTTGGATTTCCAAATAATCCTTAATAATAATTAAAAATTTTATCTGTGAATATAAATATATGAAAAGAGAATATAAAGTAGAGCTCTAATAATAGTAACAAGGTGAATAGCATGTAGCACTTGCCATGGTAGAGTCTCACTTCCAAACTCTTCCAGGTTACAATGAACTCATGGGGATCTGTCCTAGTAGCAGTGGTCACGGAAGTTGCCAAGACCTGGATTTGTCATATGACAAGCCAGGAGAGTCCAGCTTAACACTTTAATTTGCCAGAAACACCCAAATGTCGGGGTGACCCATAATTGACCAGGAGCCTAAAAGCTCCCAGGGCTAATATCCATCAAGGCAACTCTGACAACAGCCTGACCCTGACCCTCTGAGTCGCTCTTAGATCTGATGGCAATGACAACTGCTTCCACCGAGCGGCTAAGGCCACAAATGACCATTTGGAGCCATGCGCTTTATCTTCTGCTAAAATATCTCACTTGCAGCATGAGTATAAGAGTCAAAAACACCTTTACATTTTACTTGGAGGGACTCTAGTTTCATAATTGTATAATTTTCTGTTCTAATTGGAAATAATTGGTTTGAGAAGAAAAAAGCAAACATTTCAAAACAACTGTTATTTTAATATATTTATTTGAGCAGTGGGGAAAATGGGGAGATTTTCAAAAGATTTCTGCATTTTCCTCTGCTTTTCCTCCAATAAGAGGACATTTGTTGTGTTCCAGAACAAACCACAGGGTAATGCTTTACAATTTTCATGACTATATGAGAAAAAACATACGCCAGTTTCTGCCACTAGCAATAATAATGACTGGAGTCCCATGCAAATGGACCTTGTGTTTTAATAAGACTGCCCCCTCAAATCGTGGTGTCCCAGATGACTCTATGTCTATAGACCGCACTGGGACTCATGGTACAGTATCAGAGTCTAGGAACAGTTCGGTAAAACTAGCACTGAGAGTCTTCCACTAGCCATCATCTAAAGACACATTACTCCACACAAAATGCAATGTAATAATGAGATGGAACAAATGCTAGTTCGACTGATGACATATTCTCTAACTGTTTATTTGTCCACTACTTGGTGCTACAGTAGCAACACAGTCGCCCCTTGGTATCCACAGGGTATTGGTTCCGGGAACTCTCTTGGATACCAAACTCCATGGATGCTTAAGTCCCTGATCTAAAATAGTGTAGTATTTGCATATAACCTACACACATCCTCCTGTATACTTTAAATTACCCGTGGATTACTTATAATAACTAATAAAATGTAAATGCTATGTAAATAGTCATTATACTATATCATTTAGGGAATAATGATAAGGAGGGGAAAGTCTGTACACATCAGTACGGATGCTTATTTCCTCCCGAATATTTTTGATGGGTGGTTGGTTGGATCCAAAGATACGGAACCACAGATGCGGAACTCACGGATACAGAGGGCCGACTGTATTTGCTTCCAATTCATTTTCATAACTGAGACTAAAAATATTTTGGCAATGAAACAGTAAGGCAAGGGAAAGTTTGAGAAACTAGAGGTCACTTTTCACTTCTGCATTTCTATGTCCCTCCGTGAGCTCTCACCTCCAGGCTGGCGGTAGCGGAGGTGCCGGGGCGTGGAGGGGGATCTGCAAGGTGAAAGTTCCGGGCCGTCCGCTGCGGGGGAGCTTTCCGCTCCTGCTCGCTCACCTGGTACAGACTCTAGGACTGCTGCTTGAAAACATCATGAATTTTAACAACCAGGCCATGAATTCAAGGGCTTCTTGTCAGTATCATGCATGGAAACACAAAAGTTCATTGCAGGTAATAAGCATTTCACATCAGTCTACATAATTTAAAGGGCTTGAACATAAAGTCAAGTGCCAACCACACTAAATCAATATACGGATCTTCTCTAACCCTGTCTTGCTTGCTCACTCTGGCTGAGCCTGGCTGGCCCCTTCTGTCCAATGCAACAGCAGATGTTAAAAAAATACAGAGGGTATGCAGTGGATCCCCCACCCTTCAGGATGTTTTTGCTTTCTTGGAATGGGGAAAGAGGAACTTTTTCAGATTACAAACCCAATTGGAATAAAAATCGGGACTTCACTAGTTCTTTGCCTGGGTTGTTCCCTTAAGCCAACTAAAGTTTGACTTTCTATCAATGTAGCCCCCACCCCACCCCCACCCCAGGAAGCTCTGGGGGCTCCTAGGAATCTAGAGCTGCATTGTCCAAAACAGCAGCACTAACCAAATGTGGCTATGTAAATTTATTTTAACTCAAGTTAAAATAATACTTCAGCTCCCCACTTGTACTAGCCACATTTTCAGTGCTCAGTAGCCAATATGGCTAGTGGTTACAGCACTGCACAGCACGGATATACAGCATTTCCATGCTCCCAGAAAATTCTACTGGGTATCTCTTGGCTAGAGCTACAGATCAGCAGGAAGGAAGTCGAAATTTTAAAAGTGAACTGCTGGAAGGTTTAAGATCATTTGAGCCTCTTTGCTGCAGCTAGCCCGAGAATAAAAGATACATCATTCTAGGGTCACACTTAGGCTATTACTAATGACGCTTCTATACCCCTCCCACTGACTTATTAAGCAGGTAAAATACAACTAAGTGTATGTTCTTTCGAGAAAAAAATATTACAAAAATTTAATAAATTTCCAGTAATCCTTCCATTTCTTTTTCCTTGGGCTTTTCATTAACTTCCACTCATAAAAACTTAGAGTCACCACTACTAATTTTACATTAATCCTGTCAGCAGAACTACTTCCCTTTGCCATTTCATTCAAGATTTCACTCAAACTTTACAAAATCTCTAATGACTTCATATAAAGCCATTTTTACACTTGCATGTGATTTACTCCCTTAGAAATATGACAATTTTGCTCTTCTGAAACACAAAGGGGCCAGTGAAGGGAAATGGTTAGAATCTTTCCCTGAATGACATAATTACAGTAAAACCGGCGATGATGCAAGATGCAGACAAAAAAAAAATCAGTGCTTAGCTGTTAGTTTTATTATTTTCTAAATAACTCCAAAATTCAGTAATGGAAGGCATCTGCTCTGTAAGAACAAGCAGAATATCAAATACGGGTCCTTGGTCTGATTCAACCATTCAGTCATCTGAGGAAAATGAGAAATTTGTTAGTCAGCGATTACACTGAACCCAAAAAAGCTCCCAGGGAGAGCTGGACAGGACCCGAAAGTCCTGAAAGAACAGGAAGGCGAAGAATGATGCTGTAAGCTAGCAGGCACCTCAAGAGAAGAAACCATGCCAGCACGGTGGAGTGGCAGGGAGGGGAAGCATTTCCTTCTGGCATGTTCACTTTCTATCAAGCTCCGTGCAGACAGCTTTGCCTGCAGGACGAGTGGGCAGATGCGGGCTCAAAACAAATGCTAAAACTGGGAGCACTTTCAGCCCACAGGCAGGCAATTTTCAAACTAAGAACACAGAAACAGACACCAGCGCTGTGGGCCGTGCAGCAACACTTAGGCGGCTAAGCTGCACAGCCGTGGCCCCTTTGGCTCTCCTTCCTTGCCTGCCGTTGCTTTGACTTTTGTTGAGACCCCATCACTGGGTGGAATCTGGATATCTGAGTCATGGTGATATTTGTGTTTTTCAGAAGCACGTGGGGTGGAAAAAGATAGGAACTGCCTGGTAATAAGAAAAAAGGTCACTAGCGAATGTTGGGTGGGCCTGAAACAGACTTGGAGATTGGGTTGGACAAAAATTAAATTGCATTCCTTTTTTCCCTAAGAAATTCATTGCCTCGCTCATTTTGAGGTTTATTTCCTATTTCTCTTCTTTCCCTTCACATCATTTAAAGTTCTCTTGCCAGAAAATATTGCAAAGCTGGCAATGTCATTGCAATGACAATAAAACTGGACAAAGGTCACTAGTATTTTTCAAAGTGCATGCCCTGAAACATCCAGCTGGAGAGCAGCGAGGGAGACCCGTGATGTCAGCAAGGACCTAAGAGGCAAAACTGATATCGTGCAATGAGATTGTGTGGGGTTGTATCCTAAGTGAAAAGCAGAAAATGTATAAACTCTTGGCATAGGATTCTCATTCAAGTTTGCCAACTGTTTAAGCATTAACATTATGGGGAGAACATGCAAACATCTTTCAAATTAAAAGATCAGCATCTCCCTTTTCTTTGTGAAGACTAGACAGCAGAGTTAATACAGAGGCACTCTTGGCCCCTACAAGAGAAGTGTGTGTGTGTGAGTGTGTGTGTGCGCAAACTGAACTTTCAGACAGACACTGAAGTAAAATGTGGGGGTGGGAGGAAAAGATGAGGAGCAGCTATAAATACAGATGAGGCTTTGTTCGCTCGCCACTGCTCACCTCCTGCTCTGTGGCCCGGTTCCTAACAGTACACAGACCGATACTGGTCCGTCGCCCGGGGGTTGGGGACCACAGCTGCAGAGCACCGCACAGTATTCATTTGTTCACTAACTATACCCCAGGCCTCACATAACTGTTTCCCTTCTTTTTTTCCCCCATTGCTTGATTTCCTTATCTGTTTTATTTTTAATCCAGTGGTACTCTGTGTGTCTTTGAACTACCACATTAAAATTTTTAAGTATAATATGGAAAATAAATGCATTAAAAAGAAATTAGAGGATGGCTATAGAAAGCGAAAAAAGAAATAAAGATGCAAAGAAGTGGCTATGAATGGCAGGACTGAGGGATGGGGTCACGGTGAAAGTGAGCAGTGTCTGGAGAAGCAGGCTAGAGAGAGTCTGTATCGCCACCAGTGGAGAGTTTAGAGAATCTGGTGAGGGCTCAGAAGAAGAGAGTATCTGTAGGGAAGGTCTGCATCTTCTTAGAGATTACATAAGTGATCATGTTCAGAATGCTGGTAGAAATATGGGCGATAAAGACAATTCTGATCAGGTCTCAGATGGAAATGAGGAACAAGGTATCGGAAACTGGAGTAAAGGCCAGCCATCCTTGTTATAAAGTAGCAGAGAACTTGGGTGAATTGTGTCCATGTCCAGGGGCTTTATGGAAGGCAGAGAACTTAACAGCAATGAACTAGGATATCTGGCAGAAGAAATTTCTAAGCAAAATATTGAAGGAGCTGCATGGCTACCTTTAACTGCATGTAGTCAAATGCAAGAGGCAAGAAAGGATTTAAAGGTGGAATTGATAATTAAAGGGGAGGCAAAGTGAGAGATTTAGAAAAACCATAGACTGGCCATGTCAAGAGTAAAACGGCATCTTTAGGAGAGCAAAGTGACCGTTTGCTAAAGAGATTAGCATGAAAGAGATTAGTATAGAGAGAAGAGAGGCAGGTGCTATTCATTAAGACAATGGGAGAATGACTCCGAAGGCATTTCAGAGATCTTTGAGGCAAGCTAGGGACCTTGAGGAAAAGGTTTCCAGAAAAGAGCCCAAGGGACCTCAGCATTCACTGCCCAGGGCTGCCTTATCCTCTGCTCACCATGTTTCTGTGCAGTGCTCCTCAGCCACCCCAGCTGTGGCTCAGGCAAACCCAGGTGCCGCTCAGGCCATCGCTCCAGAGAGCATCGCTCCAGAGGACATTAACTCCTGGTGGCATCCACGTGGTGCTAATTCTGCAGGTCCTCGGAGTGCACAAACTGTGGATTTCAAAGGATCTCACAGGTAGCCTGGAGGCCCAGGCAGAGACTTGTCTTGGAGCAGAGCCACCGAAGAAAGTCCTCACTGGGGCAATGTCTAGTGGAGCCATGGGAGTGAAGTCATTGCAGAGATCCGAGAACTATGAGCATGCAAAACCAGTCTGAGAGGGCTGCAGGCAAGAGACCCCAATCCATGAGAGCTGGTGTGTGAGCTGAGCCCAGCAAAGCCATGGGGGCAGTGCTGCCTGAGGTTTTGGGAGCCCAACCCCAACCCAGTGTGCCCAGGAGGCAGCAGATGGAGTGAAAAGATTATTCTGGATCTTAAGACTTAATTTTGTCTGCCCTATTGGGTTTTAGACTTACTTGGGGCCTGTTACTCCTTTCTTCTTGCCTATTTCTGCCTGTCTCAATGGGAATGTCTATCCTATGCGTGTCCTACCATTGTTTTTTGACAGTAGATAATGTGTTTTAACTTTATAAGCTCACAGCTGCAGGGGAATTCTCCTGAGGGTGACTGTGCCTTGAGTCACACTCACATCTGATTCAGATAAGACTCTGGACTTTGGACTTTTCAATTATTGCTGGAACAGGTTAAGACTTTTGGGGCTACTGGGATGAAGTAAATGTATTTTACATGTGAGAAGGACATGAATTTGGGGAACCAGGAGTGGGAATGCTATGGTTTGGATGTGTACCCCAAATTTCATGTGTTGAAAACTTAATCCTAATGCAACAGTGTTGAGAGGTGGGACCTCTAAGAGGCAATTAGATGATGAGGGCTCTGCCCACCCACATGAATGGATTAACGCTGTTATCCTGGGAGTGGGCTCCTTATAAAAGGATGAGTTCAGCCCCTTCCCTCTCACTCTTTCTCTATCTTTCCCTCTCTTTCTCTCTCACTCATGGGATGCCTTCCACCATGTTATAAAGCAGCAGGTAGGCCCTCACTAGACATCAACACTTTGGTCTTAGACTTCCCAGCCTCCAGAACTGTGAGAAATAGATTTCTGTTCATTATAAATTACCCAGTCTCAGATATTCTGTTACAATGGCACAAAACAAACTGAGACACCCCAAGTCTAACTGTCTTCCAGTTTATTGCCCCAGAGAAAAAACTAATGATTTTACTCCATCGCAAGCAGATTTCGTGCCATGGCATTAGACCATCACTGGGTTTGGGCTTTGAAGACCAAAACTAGGGAATTTGGTGACCCAAGTGGAACATTCCTTGTGCTAATACTTAATCATGACCGACCATGGGCAGCTGGACTGGGGACCTCTAGAACTATGACATGTGTTTAGACTATATTGAAGAAAGGAATAGACTTTGCTTTTGCTTTTTCTATTAAAGGAAAAAAACCAATATCCATACTACTAGGCCTTAGCCAATATAAAATGCAGTCTCTGAGAAATTACAAAAAAAGAAGAAAGATTCTCATCTCACCCCCACTAGAATGGCCACTATAAAAGAAAATCCCGGAAAATAACAAGTGTTGGTGAGCATGGGGAATCCTTGTGCATTGTTGGTGGGAATGCAAAAGGGCAAAGCCACTATGGAAAACAGTATGGAGTTTCCTCAAAAAATTAAAAGTAAAATTACCACATGACTCAGCAATCCTACTTCTGGGTATATATGATATATCCAAAAGAATTGAAAACAAGATCCCAAAGAGATATTTGCACACCCATGTTCATTGTAGCATTATTCACAATAGCTAAGAGGTGGAAGCAACCAAAATAGTCATCGAGAGATGAATGGATAAAGAAAACCTGGTATATGCATACAATGGAATATTATTCAGCCTTAAAAAAGGAGGAAACCCTATCACATGCTACAACATGGATGAACCATGAGGACGTTTTGCTAAGTGAAATGAGCCAGTCAGAAAAGGGCAAATAGTGAATGATTTCACTTATACGAGGTACTTAAAGTAATCAAACTCACAGAGACAGAAAGTAGAATGGTGGGTGCCAGGGGCTTAGGGGAGGAGAAAATGGGATATTGTTGTTCAATAAGTATAAAGTTTCAGTTTTGCAAGATGTAAAAGTTCTAGAGACATCTTGTACAACAATGTGAATGTACTTAACACTACTAAGCTACACACATAAAAATAGTTCAGATGGTAAGAAGAAGGAGGAGGAGAAAGAAAAAAATTATTTAGGCGAGTTGTTGTTGTTTTCAAGTTTACTCAATGCTAGAAAACCCTAAGAAGGCTAGTAACGGGGTCTGCACTATAGGGCTGCCCCTAGTGCCAAAACAGGACAAAACCTGTCCCTTGAGAAGCAATGATGTCTCCTGCTCTCCGAAATGGCATTAACCACTGGTGGGTACCACTACCCCTTTGCCCAGACATTTGCCCTTCTTCTGCTTCCAACCCATATATCTATTTTCTTGGCTCATGTCAAAGACATTTACTGTTTCTGCTCAAGCAGATGTGATGTCCCCTTCCTTTCAGCTTCCAGAACTCTCTTATCTACACCTCCTGTACCATCTGCCCTTACAGTTATGTTGTGTCTCTATTATCCGCATAAGTACAGTGAGAGGGGTGAAGACACTATCTTAGTTACCATTATAGACTCTGTAGCTCACACGGTATCCAACACGGAGAAGAGCTCACTCAATCAACGACTTGAGTGGAACTTACCGTGTCCTTATCCCAGCCCCAGGAGCAATCAAACCACAGCCTCAGAGCCACTGATGTCTGACACTGAAATGCTTGTTCCTAAAGCTCTTCTAACAAAAAAGAACATGAGAATCCAGACTTATCTCCAGATTTCTCCTCTCCTACTTACTGCAATCCAATAAAGGAGGGAGAAAAAATTCCCATATTCTGGAAAATTCCTCTACTTCCCAAGCTGCTGTGCCTAGGAAGTACAGGAGTCATGCCCTCCGTGGAGGTTCCCAAGCACTGGATGGAACCCCAGATGCACTTGGCAGCTCGTGCACTACCTCATTATTCCCAAGAAGAATCCATCATGATTTTGCTGAAGCTTGCTGTTCTAATGACTTTTTAATTATCTTCCCCCTTTCCTCCTCTTTAGTTGCTAACTTGTCAATTTAAAGAATTTCTTGTTAAAAAGGGTGCTACTTTTGATGATGACAATCACTCCAGTTAAAATTCCATTAAGTACTTCAATCAGGAAGCTCATTTAAATGATCTGAGCTAGAAAGCACATAGGAAATTCAACTGGGTAGAAAAGCAGGGTACATTCTTCCATCTGGATGATCCTCCTTGAAATCTGGACACTTTGATTTATTGCCCAATTTTTATTATGAAATCAACAAATAAATCAATTATGCAGTTAACAAAAAAGCTCTTTGCTAATTTGGCTGTGAAACCATTTTTATTTTCATTACAGGAACACTGGATTTTAAAAGCAACAAGGATCACCTTCTCTAACCCCCACATTGTACGAAGCTGAGGAAGCTAAAGTGATGGGCTAGAGCAGTGGTCCCCAACTTTTTGGCACCAGGGACTGGTTTCATGGAAGACAATTTTTCCACAGACGGGGCAGTGGGTGGGGAGGACAATTTTGGGATGATTCAAGTGCATTACATTTATTGTGCAGTCAAAGCTCTCTGCTAATGATAATCTGTATTTGCAGCTGCTCCCCAGCACTAGCACCACCGCCTCAGCTCCACCTCAGATCATCAGCCATTAGATTCTCATAAGGAGTGAGCAACCTAGATTCCTGCATGTGCAGTTTACAGTAGGGTTCTCACTCCTTTGAGAATCTAATGCTGCCGCTGATCTGACAGGAGGCGGAGCTCAGGCAGTGATTCAAGTCATGGCGAGTGGCTGTAAATACAGATGAAGGTTTGCTTGCTCACGCACCGCTCACTTCCTGTTGTGCGGTCTGTTTTGGTTTCTAACAGGCCAAGATTGGTATGGGGTCCGCTGCCCAGGGGGTTGGGGACTGCAGGGCTAGAGGACCCTGGATTAGTTCACTGCATGTTTTACTTCATTCATTCCTTTAACAAAAGTTTACTACCTGCCAGGCACTAGCCAACACACTGAGGATACAGAGGTGAACAAGATAGGCAAGATGTCTGGTCTCACGGAGCTTACAAGGGGAAAGGCTGTCCAAGCAAAGGGAAGAGCAAGTGCAAAAGCCCCAAGGCAGGAATGACTGAGTTGTTTTTGAGACACAAAAAGGAAATCAATGTGACTGTTCCTAGCAGATGAGGGAGCCTGGCAGGGGCAGGGGCCAGGGAGGAAGACAGGAGTCCAGTACCATAGGATCTGAAGGCCTTGGGAAGGAGAACGTACTTTATTCTAAGTGCAATGCGAAGTCATTAGAGAATATAAGCAGGAAACCCTATGATTTAATCCACATTTTAAAAAACCATTTGACTGTGGCATGAGCAATTAACGCTGTCTCTGAGTTGATTTCTCTCTATATACCTCTGTTGTAAAATAGAGTGTTGCCCTCGTAACCAAACTGAAGAAGCCATCATGGTGCTTTCAGGCTGGGTCATCCTCCACAGAAAAAGGCTGGAAGCACACAGGTGCTTGAGGAAAACAGTGGAGGAGGAGAAAGCTCTGAGGCCCGAGCTCATGGATGAGGATGCCCACAACCTCTTTCCATGCAAAGCATCATGCTAGGCTCTTTAGCCAACCAGCCCTAACCAAATTCCAAGCCCCTCCCAGTAATACCATTCCATATGCTATTCTTCCATAGACAACTGGCTACCGTTAGCATTTTACCACAGTGGCATAAGGACAACTAAACTTGCCCTCTGTTCCACAAGGGGTAGAGGGGCAGTAGGAAAGTTGTAAAGACAGGGGACTGGAGTTTCAGGAGGAACAGTGGGGAAGCAGGCAGCCAGCAAACGTGGGGTGTAATCACATAAATGTGCTGGATGATACCTCTTTGAATACTTCGTTTTAGCTTGTTACACAGATCCACGCGGGGGTTATCTACATTCTCGTCTACAGATCCCGGGCTTTGTTCTGGAGAAGAGAGGCCTCTGCTAAGATCCAACGGTACTTTACCAGTGTGCGGCGGGGGGGACGCAGCGGGGCTATGGGTGGTGGTGGGACTGCCAGATGACGAGGAAGTGGTCAGGTCCAATGCTCCTATCCTTGAGTTCAAGGGAGAAGTCAAGGACAGCTTTCTGGCCCTCACTGGGGAGGATGTTCGGGACACAGCCAGCGGTGGTGGGGAAGAGAATTTGCGACACAGACGTGGGGATTTTCCATCCGCCAAATGTTCACCTCTGTTGTTCTGGCTGGTAGCAAAAAACAATTCCAATGACCTAAAAATAAGAGCAAAAGCTACTAACAGATTGTAACCAAGTGAAATGATTTCCCAGATGTCATTCAAGAACATGCTCCCTTCATTTAAAGGCCATAATATCATCGTGCTTCTCTCGCTGGCTTTTTCTTAATCTACATGCTACATGTATACCATGCACTTGCCAAAGAAGCACAGACATTTTTGGGGAATTATCTAATCCCTTGCTATTAAATTGTGGCCCAAAGACCAACTTCACTGGTATCTCTGGGGAGCTTGTTAGACATTCAGAACTCAGGCTCCACTCCAGACCTACTGAATCAGAGCAGGCAATTTAAAAAGACACATCCCTGCTCCAGCTGTTTCTTATGCATATTAAAGTTTGAAAAGCACAGTTGTCTGGAAGGAAGGAAGGAAGGAAGAAAGGAAGGAAGGAAGGAAGGAAGGGAAGGAGGAAGGAAGGAAGGAAAGAAGGGAGGGAAGGAGGTAGGGAGGGAGGAAAGAAAGAAAATCCTAAAGCAACAGAGTTAGATTGCAAATAATCACAGAACAAGCAAAGGCCACTTGGAGACTTCAGGGTTCTCAGCTTCTTCCCTGGGGAACTCTCTGTGACCTCTGCTTACCACTTCTACTGGTGGGGCATGGTAAGTTCAAGGGCAGGCTAGTGCTTCCTAGGAGCCGCTTTGCAGAGCAAGACTGCTTATCTGCATGGTGACTCAGGAACCAGGAGGACTACACTTTATCGACAGGCAAATCCCGGGCATACCTGACAGGGATGGAGGTGAAAGGCCTCTTGTATATGTCGGAAAGCTTCCCCAGCACCACAGTGGCCGTCGTGAAAATCCGATAGGTGTGCAGAAAGGTGTTGAGGAAATCGATACTAAGAAAGCGCAGGTCTGTCAGTCGCTCCAAGAGGCGCTCCACGCTGGCATACCGGATCTGGGGCACTTTGCAGGAGTTGAGTGTTTTACTGAAGCAAATGTCGGTGTCGTCTTTATGAAGACGGGCATCAGACCTATGTGCAAAGCAGGAACATGATGATAAAACCAGGAGGAGGCTTCCTCCCCAGCCACGGAGCATTTCAGTATTTGTAAACACACGCACACGTGCAGGCTTTCCACTGCACGTGATAGAAGATGGAGAAATTTACAGTCATCCCCCCCGTATCCTCGGGGCATTGGTTCCAGAATTCCCTCCACATCAAAATCCACAGATCCTCAAGTTCCTGATATGGAATGGTGTAGTACTTGCATATAACCTATACACATCCTTCTGTACACTTTAAATCATCTCTACATTGCTTAAAATATCTAATATAATGTAAATAGTTGTTATACTGTATTTTAAAATTTGTATTATTTTTCATTGTTGTATAGCTATTTTGGGGTTTTTCCCCCAAATGTTTTTGATCTGCAGTTGATTCAATCCGCAGAAGCAGAACCAGTGGAGACAGAGGGCTGACTACATATGTTGACATGACCTATAACATACGACAAGGCAGGGTTGTGAAAACATCAAGTATGCCATTATAATTTAGGAAGGTCTGAATCAATAACGGAGAAGGTAATAATTATTCACTTCACTGTGTGGATTCCTTCTCTCTCCAGTTCAGTTATGTCTGACTAGGAAAATGAAGCCAAAGCCTTCTTTTTAGGTCAGGGGGTAAGGGGGAAGCATTGCTTATGCCCTTAAAAAGCAGAATATCAAAAGTGTGCATAAAAAGTAGTGGGTGATACTCCCCCCAACAGGGGAGGAAAGACACAGATAGCACTGCTATATTCATCATTATTTCTTTTTCTCACTTCTAATTTTGTACATTTGTGCTTTCCCCCTTTTTTTTTGATTAAACTGACTAATATATTGTATGATTGGGTATTTTATCCCCTAGAACTGGTTCTTTGATTTACCAATTATACTGTTTTTCTATATTTTATTAATGTTTGTTCTTATTTTCTTCCTATATTTTCCTACAGTTTAGTTTCTCATTCTTTTTCCAGCTTCTTGAATTGAATGCCTAATCCATTTATTTTATTCTTCTTGGCTTATGAATGTGTTTTAAGGCTATACATTTTCTGAATACCGTTAAATCCATAAATTGCGTGACACGCTATGTTTTCATTATGTTTTCAATATTCTCCAGTATTAAAAATGTTTTCATTTTAAAAAACGTAATAGGTGAAATATATTCCCCTGAATAGGGCCCGCCGCTGCTGCCCTGCAATACACCCCTTTTATCATTCTGTACCATCTCCCATCTGGCTGCTCCTGAGCCCTCACCCTGAGGCCGTTGCACTGGCAGCCTGTCCAAGTGCACTGCCATGGCCGGTAGCCTTCTCCTCCCCTTCGAGATCCTTCATTCCCCTTCACTGCGGCATCTCAGAACAGACGATCAATGAAGCCCTGGATTTTATCATTTGATTAAAGGATGTGCTACAGGGTCAGTAACTTTCAGTGAGCCAACTGCTTGCTAACAATCAGCTGGCCTATTGTGAGTGCCCTTAATTAGCTCTTTCAGAACTTTGAGGGATTTTAAATTATATATTTATTTTCTTTTTGGATAAAAAGGAATCAATAGCTGTCTTAGCTTGCTCTTGGAAACTTCCCAACCCAAAGTATGCTTGGTGCAGGCAGAAGTACTTCATGTGCAGTCCCGAAAGAGCATTTTAAATGAGCTTACCCCTGCTGAGAACTGAGTGGCTTGGTAGCTTTAGTCACATTACTGATCTCAAAATACCCAAGTGCATCTTTTGAGATCCATGAAAGTAGTGTGGCTTTTTCTTCTACTTATCATATGAACCTCAACCAACTTTATTTTTCTGGTTCTTAATTTTCTTTTGTAAAAAGATTGGAGAAACTTTTGTAAATCCATCAGTCTGTCCAGAAAATGGCTGAATGAGAGAATCACTTTTTCTCCCACCATTTTCTACCCAAAATCTCTATTTTCTAAGAAAGTTGAGGTCAAATATTATTCAAAGAAAGAAAGCCTTGGCCTACATACCATTTAAAGAAATATTTTCAACTATTAAGTGTCACGATTTTGAATTTAAATTGTACTTTTGAGTTCTGCATCTTTTTACGACAGTCATTTAAAAATCTAGGAGAGGCCGGGCGTGGTCACTCACGCCTCTAATCCTAGCACTCTGGGAGGCAGAGG